TCTTAATGGGGGAAATAAGTTCTGTTACGATTTCCTACATTCTAGAAACATCCCTGTTTTTTTTTTTTTTTACTTAATCTTTTTGTGCTTTATCTGTGTTTAAAAACTATTGTACTGAGTTATAATGCATTTTATTAACACTATGTACATATTAGCCGCTTTGTGTTTCAGAATGATAGTAATTGCTTTGTATATTAAAGTGATCCTTGTGAATTTGTGAATTATTGTCATAAAGAAGTGCTTTTTCTTACTGTAACCTTTTGTGTATAAACTGTCATAATGCCCTTTTTACACAAACATTTATGTGCAGTCACATAAACATGCTTTTAAAAACTTTACAGTCTCTTTTTTGAGGATGGATGTTCCATTAAACTATAGGAGCAAAGGCAGCTAGGTAGAAACATAGGAATATCTGCATTTAATCAAAATTTTGGTCTATCAAGTCCAATATCCTATCTCCCTCAGTCATAGCCTGCTGTAAGTGGTTATGAGAGAAAATTCCCATTGGGAAATTTATTTTAACTTTCGTTTACTAAATGAAATTAATGGGAGATTAGTTTATGCCATGAAGCACAGCAATTCCTGTTCCTTCAAAACTTGGATTTTTTGTTTTATTTTCAGTCCTCTGTTGTTTTATCTCTGTTTTACTCTGGTGGCAGAATCTGATGTGCTGAATAGATTATGTTGTATATAAAAGTTTCCATTAATTATTTTTAAGTTTGCTACCTATCAGCTTATTAAAAATCTCTGTAAGCTCTGTACTATTTTTCTCACCTAGCATCCAAACTAAACATCAGAATAAATACAGTGAGGTGCTGTGATTGTGCATAACTGGATTGTTTAGTCTACAAAGTTAGTTCAGACTATAGGTATAAAAGCCAATAGACAAAGTTAGCATCTATGTAAACAGGTACCTTTCCATTAAAGTCAATAGAGAGCACTATGGTCTTCATCACCACCTCTTTATGGGTAAGATCTTTTAAGTTTTCAGGGACTACATATTTTCTTAATGGTACATGTATTTCTGCAGAAAATCCATCATTTCTTCAGAAAGACAACGGTTATTTAGTGAGTATTGAAGCGAAAAATGGCTTGAATTTCATTTGAAAGAAACTGGGTAATTGTGTAGTGTATGAAGTCAGTAGTGGCAACTGCTAAGCCAACAACGGGTCATTTCATTTATACTTCTGCTTATTTGGTAGATTATACATTCATATATTTTTTTTTGCTGAATTAAAATATTAAAAGTTTTACCCCTGTGTTGCAGGTGTTTGCAGCTGTTCTTCTGACTAGAATGGCTTCTTTGTGTGACCAAAAAAACCCCATAATATACAAGCTGCATTTTCCTGTGATAAGGCCAAATACTGCCCTTGAGTTTCAGACACATTATTTGATTAAACGAGCCAACTGGATTTGGCAAAGAGCTGAATTTGGCATTTACTTTTAAAAGTTTATTAAATGTCATCTTAATCTTGTTACCATTTTCAGTTGTTTGCTGTTTTATTGAATGGCTTGCTTAAATTTTCAGTAGTAGCCTGCTCAATCTCTTGAACATCTGTCTGTGGCTGTGTTTTTCAGTAACTAGTAATTTTCTAATGGAACACTTTTTTTTTTAAACTACAATTCATCGTCTCATAAGTGAGGGTACAATAAGAGCCAAAACTATCGATATCAAGCCAACTCTGGGGAAAAGAAAAATTGTTCTTATCCACTTTCTCCTTGGTTTTATTTACACCTGACAGATGAAAATGTGGGGTCTTTTTTCATGCCTAACTTTAATGTCAAATATCCAAAGCTTTTAAAATAGAAATGTAATAAAATAAAATGGACACATGCCTGTTTTCTCCCTTTTCCTCTTAAAAGTGTTAACTGCTAAATAGGATTGATTGCTTAAAAAAATTATTCTTAAGCGTGCATTAACTTGTATCTGCTTTCCCTTGGTACTTACTTTTATTTACAACTTTTGTACTTCAGCAGGTTACCTTTGTGGTTTCTTTTTTTCCTCTACCAACTCTCCCAAAGCTCCAAGCAAAGCCAAAACCACACCTATTGTTCCTTCAGGAGACTTTTATAGTATCTGTGTTCACTCATGCTTTTTTTTTTTGGCTGATCACTCCTTGCTGTTGCAATTCAATGCTATATTATTAATTTAAAAAGCAAAAACAGTTTTCTTAACAGCCTCTCTATGTCGAACTGCATTTCTGTAATTTCTCAGTGGTATCCAGATCAAAAGATATTCAGTATAGAACTGGGGGTAGGATTTTTGTTATGTTCAACCTGGGATCTGTAAATCAAGTGTCTTTATCTTTTTTTGTAAATCATCATCTTTAATTAAAGGTTGTTTGGGACAAATTGTTGTCAGGGACACATACATATATATATACACCTATATATATGTAGGTGTCCCTGACAACAATTTGTCCCAAACAACCTTTAATATATATATTACACGTGAAGCACTTCAAGGCAACATATATATATATGTTGCCTTGAAGTGCTTCAAGTGTAATGGGCTAGACCTTAGAACAGGGGCGGCAAGCCACATAGGCAGTTCTGGGGAGCTGTTGCGGCCTGGTCAGCACCCCACCACTTCTCCCCACCAGCCCAGATCCCATATGCCCTGTGGCTCCTCCCCGCTACTACCACCAGTGTCCAGCAGCAGCTGAAAGCACAACCCTAGCCCTGACCCTGCTCCAGACCAGCTGGAACCTGTGCACACAGCCCCGACCGCAGCCCGCCCCACACCTGCTCTGGACTCACCCACCTACGCTGAGCAGCAGCAGCGGCTGAGCAGAAGCCGCTGCTAGGAATGGGGGATAAGCATCTGCCCTCTCTCCCTGCTGCTGGGCCTCTCTTGCTGCAGCTGCCTGGAGCCGTACTCGGTGAAAGAGGCAGCCACTTTTCCCCCATGCCTAGCAGCAGCTCCTGCCTGGCGACCGCCACTGCTGCTGTTACTCAGCATGGGTGGGTGAGTCCGCAGCAGGGGCGGGCCAGGGTTGAGGCTGTGCACACAGGTTCCAACTGGTCCACTCTGGCTAGGGTGAGTTGGAAGCAGGTGCAG